CGCTAAATCAAAAGTAATAATATAAGAAACTATCAAACAAACAATTTAAGAATAAATGAAGACTAGAACAAGACTTGGAAAAGAAATACTTCCTCTGTTTCTTTTACTTGCAACACTTCCCTAAAAAGGAAATGTCACACTATAAAAGGAAAGTTACTTTAGGGATAAACTATATCATTTCCCTTATTTAAAGCACATGGCCCATTAAATTACACTCCTAACAACCAATCATCCTATTTTAAAGTTTATTATATCATGTAAACCCCACCATTCTTAATTACCGCGTTAAAGAGTGTGTTGCATTTAAAAGAAAATGGAGGAAGTAGATACGAAGTATATTATTTGAACATTCTATTGAAATGAGCACATACACAAACAAGTCAACAAGATACATTATTTAGGCTAGAGAATTAAGAGACATCGTGATAAAAGAAAGGTTATCTCTAGCTTTCGCCTAACCAACTGTGAAACATTAAAGATAAACTAAAATGTAAAACTATAAATAAGACCTTATCTGGTTCACTTCAAAAAAGTACATTAAAAAAAGTTCTGTTCAGTAATAACAATTTCAGTTCAGTAAAGTAATTTTATTTTAGTATAATTAAAATTTGTTCATTAGAAATAATTTGAATCTAGTATAGGAATAATTTGAGTTCAACAAAAATAAGGTAAGAGAATAAAATCTAATCAACAAAAATAATAAGCAACCATGACATTTCGTTAGTGTTATAGGTATTTGATCAGTATTACAAGAGTTCCTTTGTCACTGTATATGAGTTACTCGATCAATGTTATATGGGTTACATGGATTACTTGATCAGTATTATAGGGATTACTTTGTCCGACCACATGGTATAGCTAGCCACACATAAAAACGTGATTTGTTGATAAATTATTTTTAACTTCATAATTTACTATTTTACCACTTTGTTATGATAAACTTGTAATAAGTATTTTCATTTTTGTCACTTGGTAAGATAAATTTTGTCTACCTAATTTTTCCCTAAAACAAATTAAAATAATAATAATAGAACCCGTCAAAGGAAAGATATTATACCAGAAAAACAGTCGGTCATTCTTCATCTTCAAGAAGATCAAAAGTGACAAACAGAGATCTGAAGAGAAAATTGAGAAATTTGGGAAAAATAATAAAAAATGTATTCAGGCTTAGAAGTAAAGGGTGACATCGAAGAAGGAACACTTTACCCAGGTTTAGGTTATGGCGAAAATCAATTGCGTTGGGGTTTCATTCGCAAGGTTTACGGCATCCTTTCTGCTCAGCTCGTCTTGACTACTCTTGTTTCTCTTCTCACCGTTCTTTATTCTCCCATCAATGAAACTCTTCGTGGGAATTCTGCTATTCTTCTCTTCTTCACTTTCATGCCCTTTGTCTGTAAGTCTTCTTTTTGGGTTTTCTTGTAAGATTTCATTGTTTGATTGATTTGGGTGTTTTGATTGTGTGATTTTGTGGTTGAATTTGTGGTGTTTGTATGCTATTTTGTTGGATTTGGATTGGGTTGATTTTAGGTGAGCAATTTGATTATTTGTTTGATTTGGGTTATTTGATTGATTAAGTGGAAAGATTGGATTTTGAGATAATATTGCTGTTAACGAAATTGTTGGTGGTTTTACTTGTTGAATTGGAGATATTGAGATGAAATTGAGATTTGGTGGGTACAGTGCAATTTTTGAAATCTTGGAAATTTATGTTTGTCTTGGTAGATTAGATTAGGGATTTTAATAGGTAGTGAAATTTCAGTATGAGTATTGATTGCGGTGTGTATCAGGAAGAAATAGGCGATAAGAAGGCCACCGTTAATGAATGGGAAGGATCATTACGATATTTAGTGTGACTTCCATGCTTTCTGATTATCGGAATTGTCGTATGAGAAATTAAGAAGGTGAGACTGCTAGTATATCACAGAATGGAAAGAATCTTTGTTTGCTGGATTTAGGAATTTTGTCTATCTAGGTAGATTAGGATGTCAATACTCAATAGCGTGTATCAGCATGAATATTGGGGTGCGTATCAGGAAGAAAGAGATGACGGAGTATGAGGCATTGGTTAATGAATTGGAAGAGTCATTAAAATATTCGATTAATACCTTGAATCAGGAAGTAAGAGGGCCATGAGGCTGGCACTAATTGAAACAGATTGCTCATGCAGTCATGCTCGGCCAATTTTCAAACTAGAGTGAACTTTTTGTATGATCCAATAAGCTAACAACAGCTACCTGATAATCTGATATGGTAGGAGGTGGTAATGCTACTTGCAACAGATTTTTCATATCCAGCCCTACGTCCTTTTTTTTTTTACTACAAATCCTTTTGGATAGAGATGACATACGTTTAAGTTCTTTGATTTGAGGTCTGCAATTATGTTAAAACCCCATGATTTTTCATAGTTGCAAGGATGAGATTCTTAATCTCAATTTTAGTGAAGAGGGTCCTTGGTCCAAGTGTCCTACATCTAAGCTATCTCATGTCGATAGGTTTTTATAGCTTGCTTGTTCTTTCTTGTTTAACCAATAATTATCTTTGATGTATCCTTTCAAAACAGAAAGAGTTTTTGGCTCTGGTAATCTAAGATAAGTACTTCGTATTACCTGTTGCTGGAATCTTCTTAAAATGTAGAGAGAAGTCATGAATTGTATTTTTTTTAGCATGTCAATTTGTTTGGATTTTGAGCTTTGAGTGTTTTGCTGTAAACTATGATCAAAATCATCAATTTCTATTTGGTAAAATTATACAGTATTTTTCATCATTATCTTTTGTGGTTTTGTGCAGTGTTGTGGCCGTTATATCATTACCAGCAAAAGCATCCTCAGAACTTTATATTCCTTGGACTATTTACTGTTTGCTTGAGTCTTACTATTGGAGTAGCATGTGCAAATACTGAAGGTATGTGTGTCACTTTAATCAGTTTCTGTTTTATGTGACTTGAGTGTATTGACTTTTACATATGGGATATGTGCAGGAAGAATTGTGATTCAAGCATTGGTTTTGACGGCTGCTGTTGTTTGTTCCCTAACTGGTTACACCTTCTGGGCTGCTAAAAGGGGCAAGGATTTCAGCTTCCTGGGACCTGTCTTGTTTGCAAGCCTTGTTGGCATCGTTTTTGCTGGACTTCTCCAGGTATTGCTTGTTGTATATTACAGAGGACGGATTTAATTTGTTAGTTTTTATACTTAGCTAATGGTTATGCACCTTTTCCATGTCTTTGTAGGCATTCTTCCCATTTGGGTCTACATCTACTGCCATCTATGGTGGACTTAGTGCCATAGTCTTCTCAGGCTACATTGTTTATGACACCGATAACTTGATTAAACGATTCACTTATGACGAGTACATTTGGGCATCTGTTACACTCTACCTTGACATCCTGAACTTGTTCCTTACCATCTTGCGCATGTTGAGGCAGGGGGACAATTAGATACTATCTTTTCATCAAGGCATCTGTACAATGCTGTCTTGCCTAACCACAAAATTGCGTAGATGCGTTTTGTGAATATAAGATTTGTTCTCTATACCTTGTGTAAGAGCTAAGAGTTGATTGGATTCCGAATATGGTTGCTTGTTAAGTATACTTGGTATGCTGGATGTTATGTGTTACTGTGCGGCAAACTCTATAAAATTACCAAGATTATTGGATTTTGTTCAGCTTGTGTACAATTCATATGTATAGTTAATATATATTGACTAATGACTGAATAACTTTAGCTGGCTTTCAGATGAAGGGACGCTGGTGTATAGATAATAAATATGATACTACCTCCGTTACATATTATTTGCAACGATTTGACATAAAGTAGAGAAGAAAAATGTGTAATCGTTGCAAATAATATGAAACGGAGGTGGTATTATGAATAAGATGCTGCAACACCAGCAAGCCATATACAGACTGCGTATACAATTAGAATCACTTTTATTAATTTGGCAATTTCAAATAAATACCTGAATTTTCAAATTTTTTTTTCTTCCCCTTTTAATATTGAGGCATCACTTATTCTTTGACAATGGTTTTATGCTTTTCTGCATAATCTATCTTTGATTTGGTCATCTTTGATCTTTAATGTTATACAATATTGGGGTGTGACCGTGTGACAGTCTAGTGAGGTGATCATGGATTTGGATCAAGTGTTGCTTATTAGGGATAGATATTGTGTATGACATAGGCAGGGTGATTTCGGGTCACGAGTAAAATGAGGTCGGGTCAACAACAGAGTGGTTGTGAACACGTAGGGTCAATTGAGTCTCGAGTTGTTATCGGACTGGTCATAGTCATATTAGGTATTTGTCGGGATGAACAAGTTTTGGGTTGTTAATAGATGAGCCTATAACATATAAAGCCTGTTAGGTTCTCCCTTTAGATTGGATTTATACCGAGCCAAGTGCTATTTTGATGTTTTAGGTTCAGATCTAAGATTATTGGACTCATCGATTTAAACCTTTAATCTGCAGAGTTGAGGAACTAAAGAGGGATATAAAGGGTTGCACAAAGGTTTTTCTAAAGTGCCGTGGTGTACTTGGGTTTGGAACATACGGAGTATATAACATTCCCGAACATCCTTTTATTGCCTGGATGAAACCAAAGATATACAGTTCCTATCTGTTGTGTGGTCTTGCTTATGAGTCATCTCTTCTCATGTTTTTGTATAGACTTCTTTATTGGCCTTCCTTTTTTCTGCTACAAGACTTTATGTTGTATATTCCCCAGTTTTTGAGCTCTAATTGATTACTTACTACTTCACAACAAAGAAAAAATAATTAACTACAAATTTGCTCACGAACCTACATAGATGTAGCCCCCAAACTTCAAAAGTTGACAGCAACCTGGACGCTCTCTCTTTCTGTCTCCCTCTCTTACAGAATCTGGGGGAAACATTACCAAAGTTAAGGAGCAATTCTTCCTTACCCGTTATTGGTTGATCTCAACCTCTGCTCTCTTCTTCGATGTGTCAGCAAGGTAAACTACCTAGAATGAACCGAGCTTTTCAATCTTTTTTTTGGGGAGAATATAGAATATTTAAAACTGGAATTTAGCCATAATATCCATACAATCAGATAGAGAGATCATGAACATACATTTGGCTCACTTATAACTTACAGTATACACAACAGTACATAAAAATCCTAATATTTGGTGGGTGGGAGAGTAGCCAAACAATCTAAGAACCTGCAAGCTTGCATATTATGCAGGTTTTCACTAACTCGACTCATCAGACTCATCTGAGTCACTTCCTTCAGCCTCGCCAGCATTGTTAGCAGGATCTGGTGTATCAGGCTTGGTTTGAGGAGTAGGAGCAGGTTTCTTGCTAGCATTGCGTACATTTTCATCAGCATCTTCATCCTGGACAGATGCTTCAGGACGTTTACTACAGTCAAGGTAAAACAGCAATACAGCTAATTGATGGATCACAGCACAGTATATCTGAAATCCAGGACTTGCAGCTATAAAGTTTCTATTTATATATATTTTTTTGGTTAATAAAGGGAAACAATCTTAAAACCATTCCCATATTCCACCTCCAACTAACTGCTTTGACCTTCAAAACCTTTCTATAGAATATTTAGAAATAGAAGAGGGGTCATGCAACAAAGAGGGAGAATAATGGAGGATCATGAGATTGTTCACAAACGACCATGGCAAGTTGGCAACTATAGTGTAACACAGCACTTACTGGGAAGTTACAAACCAAGGAAATTAAATTAGCCAAGTGATAATTCCATTCCCATTACCCCTCACTGGTAGATGTTCAAATAAAGAGTACAACCTAGAAGATGAGCAACATGCAAATGTATTCAAGCCAAAGTAATCCATCACTTCCCAACTAGAGAACACTAAGCAAGAAGTCCAAATAAAAGTATGTGTACTCTGTGCAGAAATTAGCAAATGACATGTTGGCAACCCATAAACACTAAAATGGAAAACATAAATGAAAGTATCCGCAATTGGATCATTCACTCCTAGCAAAAGAAGCAAGATCCACAGGCCTCTAATAAAAAATACTGGTAGAAAAATCTGAATTACACATGAGATTTGTGATGTAAAAAAAGGATATCTCTGCTTCGCATAATGTTGCAAAGATCATTCTCCACGCGCTGAACAACCTCTGGCTGCAAAACAATGTATAAACCTGAGACATACATCCAGTGAAGACAAATCCAACAATCTAGCCGATTAGTAATGATGGGGAAAAGACAAAGCCTTAATTATACATTTACATCCACATCAGTCAACCCAAAGGCTGATGCAAAAGGGTTAACAAATGAAAAGTCAGGAAGTAACTTACATTTAGATCTGGTTCCCTACGAAATCTGCGACGTCGAGCATCCCTCATTGGAGGGGTAAGGCCATGTCTATACTCCACAGTATCAGGCGGATTGTCATTCCCTTCTCTCACCAAGATCATCTGATCCAGCAGCAACGGTCAACATTGGATGAAAATCACATACTCAAGCCAAAAAAATGGTGTTCACTAAATTAACTTTACTTGACCAATGTCTGCAGTTTTGATCAGCACGCTATCATCATAAGTTTTGTATGACTCCGTGACACATGGGAGATCCAGCAAAGAGGCAGGAAATCGTTCATCTCCAATCATAAAAGTACCACTCCTTCCATCCTCTAAAAGATATAGGACCAACGATAAGTTTCAGAGAGCATTAACCAAGAAGTAAAATTGACATCCAGATATCAGAGTTTTGAAGGGCATAATGTAAGATTTCCATATAATTCTAAAATGAGGGGCTGATATTAAAACAACACACAAGTGGTATGGTCTGAACAAGATGTGTATGATGCAATAAGTATCAATACAATACATCTTCATTAGTTCTCTTTTTATGCCTTTTTTCTATTAGATATATGTTAATATTTGTCGGTTAATAAAAATCACAACATAATTTCATACAAATGCAAACATCATGTTGTAGAAGGATCATTTTGTGTGATACTCGACAGTAAGAAATTTGATAATCAGTTGCATTTGACATAACATTCTAGTCCTTCCCCATGGATGAGTAACTTAAGTGAGAAAAACAAGGATAAACATGATATAAACTTCTTTCCTCTCTATTACAAGACACTAAACCAAACATTACCACCAATGTCATTCTATTCCCTCCCCACCTGCAAACCTTTGCCAGACTATAGTTAGCCCTACACATAAGATTAATAGAATTACGTCGGAGAGGATGTGTATGATCGCACCTGTGAAAGACAAATCCAACGACTTATCCTCAGAGGAAGAAGGATCTTCATTCAAAAGTTGTTCAATTTGTTCAGCAATGGAAGGCGGAACTCTCAAAATGAACTGTTCCTCCATCCCTCTACACATCACATTCAAAATATCACCATATAATCCCTCAATTAGGATAAATAAAAACTACAAATAACTTCGTATAGCAAAATTCTTGAAATTTAAAGAGCTGGATAGCATCCACACCCACGGGCGCACACGCCTAGGGACCGGGGTTCATTACGGATACTAAACCTTCTACCTGAGCCTATACAGGCGTAGGCTCGGCTCGAACTCAACAAGCCTCAAAACCCAAACTTGGCTCTGGCTCGATTAGCCTCAAATAAATTTAGGTTCGATTAGGCTTCGATAATGCAGCACATTAGCAACCAAATATGACTATATAATCAAATTAGCGTAGAAAAAATCATGTAAAATCGAACAACCATTTAACAAATTGTAAATTGCAAATAGCAAATTTCTAGCAATAACATCAATCGTTATAACCATTTGTAATTTAGGAATTATAAACAATAGTTGAACAAACCACCAAAGAAGAACCCTAAATTGAGTTCAAAGGCAATTAAATCAGCTATAGAGTGAAATTAAAACCCTAGATTAGGAAATTCACATAATTTACATTTGATGATTACCAAAAAAAAAAAAAAAAATCGTACCACAGAAAGAAGCCGCTTCAATAGAGGAGAGAAAACTCAGAAGCCGGTTCAATGGGGAACTCAGAGTACGCTTCAATGGAGGAGAGAGAGGTGCGGAAAAAATTTAAAGAGAAAAAATTGAATTCGTGAGAGATAAGTAGAAAAGAGAAGATGGGGAAATTGGGAAGTTCTCAAGTTCTGGAATTAAGAATACTATTGCTTTATTTTTATTTATTTTTTATTTATTTCTTATTTATTTTTTATTTTTTACACACTAGAAAATAATACTATTAAAATTTTGATAGATGTTATCATTTTTTTTTGTCGAACTAAAAATTATTTTTAATGATTATTTGTTATATTTATTCTTTAAAATTATTATATTAAATTAAAATTAATTTTGCAAAACTGAAATTATTTTTTTAAGATAAAGTAAACAGGGTCGAAGTACTTCTGTTAGTTGAGACGAACACTATAAGAGGGGGGTGAATTGTAAGTGAGTTCCTATTACTAATTTTTGTAGAAATTAATTAAACTGTAAAGGAACTTGCACATGCACACAAATTTTACAAGGAAACCTTATAGGGCCCAAGTTGAAGTAAAACCTCGACCCTTCGATTTCCAAACCAAGTTACTCCACTATAATAGGCAATACCAAATTACAACCTATTACACACAGACCTTTACTCACAAGTTCCACAATGAACTTGCTACCAAGTAGGACCCTATTCTATCCAATCTAAGTCCCAATCTTAGATTCACTCGTACTCCCAAAGTACACTTACAGCCTCACCTAGACGCTAACTCTATGTATGCAAAATATAATTACACACTCACCCAAGAACCCAACCAATACACAATATAAAGCACCTAGAATATGTTAGGCAAGCAATGCACGAAACCCAAAACTAATATGACAAGATGATAAGCTTGGCAGACTTACACAAATTATGCTATGAGATTTCTTCACGCATAAACTCACAAAAACTGGTAAAATGAAATTCTCTACTATTTATACAAGAATAACTTGTATACCTAGTAAGGTTTTCAAAAAGATAAAGATGTTAATTATCCTAATCTCAAATACACGGTTTTAAGTAAATTAGTTTTGAAGAAAATCTTTTCAAAAAGATAAAGAAAGATATATTTAAAAAGAATAATATCTTTTTATCAAACCGGTTTTAAGAAATAAAACTTATAGAAAATCTTTTCCTAAAATCTATCTTTTTATCTTTTCACTTTTTTAGATTATTTGCCAAGCAATTTGTCACGCTTCTAATAGATTTCTTGCAAACCCTACTTAACATATTTAACAACCGATCTAGAAGATAAAATCTAAAAGAGTTGCTGCGCCGATTTATTCTGCACTTGAGGATTACTTGGGCTTCACGCAGACCAGGACAAGTTCCTGTTAGGGAACGTTCTTGTTAAAGAATTTAAATAGTTCTTGTTAGAGAACTAAGTTCCTGTTAGGGAACTTTTCTTTTATCTTGATCACCCTTCTTTAAAAACTTCTTCTTCACGTTCTTCTTACATAAGGCTACTTGTAGGGAATAATTTCAAGCCTTTAAAATCCCACTAGCTTGAACCCCACTGTGATCATACACTAAAGTACGGTGGCGTCCAAAAGGGAAGAAGATAGAGCAAAAGAGTCGCCAACAAGTTTTTTAAGGAACTTGTAAACCGTTCACAAGGTGAAGGTTACACCCCTTAACGATCCAAGAGATCATCAACTCCATAAGGTCATGAACCAAATAAGGGTTCGGGGATGAAAGTACAAATCCAACCTTAAAAAGATTGAACCTGCCCTAATAATAGACCTTTACTTTATTCTGATCGTATTCATGTGCACTTTTTAATTAACATGCAATCAATAGGATTAACCCTAAACCTGTTTTATCTATGTTGGTTGAATTAAATGCACAAATAAACTATTATTGGCGATCACTTGAAATTATAATCAAATTAACCCTAACAAGATTATTAAATATCTTATTAAGCGTAATTACAAGTACCAATTCCCTTTAAACATGCAATAAAGGTGTGATCAAGCAATAAGTAAGCATCAAGCAACATAATAAATAATAATATCATGATAATAATTATCATAAATAAAATAATCATCATCAAAATAATAATAGTCATAAATCATGACAATTATAATCATAATCATGATCATGTTAAAGCATAATAAAAATAGCAAGATCCTAGGCATGATACTAACAAGATTAATAACAAACCCCAGCATGTCACTAAGCAATAAAGATCAAATCTTTAACCCTAACATGATACTAACAATCATAAATATTAGGAAGAACATAGAAAGCATCATAGGAATCATATTTAATATTAAAAACACCCTAGACATGATACTAGGAATATCATAATAACAATGTAAACATGATTTCTACATCATAATATCAATAAAATCAATAAAGCACTTACTTTGATGCCTCGTATCTCTTTCTAATAAAAAAATACACGCGTTAGTAACTTCAAGGAAAATAATAATCAAAACAATTAAATTAAATAATTGAAATAGAGATTTGGGACCAAACCCTCAGAAATTAAAACCTTTCACGTCTAGGGCGAAGGCAACTTCGAATATGGCTAGGTGTTTCTAGATCTTGTGAATGCGGAATTTTGTATGAGAAAAGCAAATTTAGAAAAAGATGAATGAGAGAGATGAATGATTTAGAAAACTTGATGAAAATTGGTGAATGATTAAGAGAGAATTAGAGAATTAATGATTGCGAATGAAAACTGATTGTAGGTGCATGAAAACGGAGTTTTTAATACGATATTTATAGATAAAATCAGCCAAAAAGATAAATTAGACAAAACAGAGTCTGACGCGAAGAAAACAAAGTTGGCGCCAACCCTGGCTAGCTGGCGCCAGGCAGGCAGGCACCAGCACTAGCGCCAGGCGCCAGGCCTGGTTCCAGGCGCCAAGGACTGGGGTTAGGCGCTAAGCCTGATACCAACGCGTTTTCGAAAATCCGATAAGTTTACCGTACCGGAGGATAAAATAATATAATTTCCTCAAAAATGTTATTTGATTTTGATTAAAACTCTGAAAAGTCAACAAAAGTCAATTTATCAATGCTAATGAATTAGGAATGGAAAGAACCTTCTAGATGAATCTAGAAGACTAAAACCATTCCTAATTGCATTAGGAATGATAAATCATATTAGGCCCTCCCCTAGATCATTGGGCCGCACATAAAGCTCAAATCGGGCCCAATTTAGTAAATTGGCCATAACTTCCTCAATATTTATCGGAATTGGGCTTATAATATATCGTTGGAAATGTCTTTGCAAGCCCCATCAAACTACACTACTATTGGACCTATATCATGGACCAACCAAACTGGATTGGCTGTTTTCTTAAAATAAAGTTTTCAAAAACAGAGAGAAGAGAAAAGAATTAAAAACTTTCCGCAACACTAGACTTTCCACACTTTCGTTTCATTCGATTATGATTCGACGTGAAAGGTACTCATCACTGGGTTTGGTTTTGGGGAGACACAAATGGGTGTCTACAGAAGCCCCCACTTTGACTGAGTTTGGAGAAACGCAAGTTTCGAAAACAAAAGTCAAAGTAGCAATAGGGACAGAGAATGATTTAGAACGTTCTGCGATCCTAAATCACTCTTGTAACGCCGATACCTGCAAAACTAGCATGAGTTAAACAGATAAAAGAGTTAAGAAACGCGTATCTTGCACCGTCGAGCACACGTCTCTGAAAGTAACCGATTGTTTTGATGACCTCCTGCAAGCTAGAGAATGCCATCCCGCTTGAAAACCGCTACGGCTGTAACTGCTTCCAAATTTGGAAGATTGCTTCACCTGAAACGATCCTCCTCCGCAATGATAATATTCCACATCCTAGGGAATACTATTGAAGATTGCTTCTCTTGAAACAACCTCCATCCGCATTGATAATATTCCACATCCTAGGGAATACCATCGAAGATTATTTCTCTTGAAACAATCTCCATCCGCATTGATAATATTCCACATCCTAGGGAATACCATCGAAGATAACTTCGCCTGAAATTACCTCCAGTTGTTCGTAACAACTTTCCGCAAGCTAGGGAATGTCGTCGAAGATATCTTCTCTTGAAGTCACCTTCATTTGATGCGATAATTTTCCAAAGGAAATTACCGAAGATCCACGCCTGTCGATCTTTAAAAGTTCGCCTGAACTTTGCTCCCGCTATGCCTGTACGTCGGCGCTTCCGTTGCTTTGAATCTGTATGTCGGCGCTCTTTTGCTCTTGAACCTATATGTCGGTGCCCTTTTTTTTTTTTTTTTTTTTTTTTTTTTTTTTTTTTGCTAATGAACCTATGCTTAGGCGCTTTAAGCTAAGTGAGACGATCTCTTATCAGGTCGATCACTTTATGTAATCAAGCCGATTACTAAATCATGTCAAATTGCTTAGAGGGGCTAACTGGTGTACCAAGGAACCCAAAAATATGTTGCAGAAGACTAACACTACCTCATCAGGTGGCTGTGGCGTCGCTGAAAAACCATCAGCGCCAGCTTATTAGCATTAGCGCCAGGCACTGATATTGGCGCCAGGCGCCAAGCCAAATTTGTGACGCCAATGCATAGGGCCTGGCGCCAGCACAAGGACTTCCTTAAATACCCCTTTCCTCTTCATTTCGCTACTTTGTTCGTCGCGAAACTGCTCGAAGAAACCCGAAAGCTTCAACTGCTCATTGCTTGCTCGTTTCTCAACCGAATTCGCTCAAATTTGTTGCAAATCAAAGCTCTTTTCATCTATTTTCCTGATCTATGTAAATTTTCTTCAAACTCACATCAGTTTTTATGAATTTTTAGCATGTTTATTCACGAATTTCATGAAAATTCGAAATTTATAATGCTCAATTTGCTTTGTTTGTTAAGTTTTATGCCATGAAATTGCTTGATTATGTTTGTATATTGCCTTGGGAGTAATTTGAGACTTGTTTGACTCAATTTGGTGAAGAAATGAGCAATTTGCCATTGTTGGACCTCTTAAGGTCGTGAAGAACAATGTGGCTCGTTCTTGATGTTTTTGCTAGCAATTCTTGTTCAATTTGTCACAATAATCACTATAGTGTTGCAAGAAATTGTTTGATTGCTTGAAAAAATGCTGTCATGCTCAATTTGAATTTGTGCTCTGTTTTAGTACTACGTACTCTGTTTTTTTTTGCGAACATAGTATCATGCGGCTAGGCGAACCTTAGATACTATAGAACCTTAATTCTCGATGATTTTGCACAATGTAGCATGGCTAGACAACGAGGCTTGGGTTCACGGTCTCGAAACACTAGACGGGAGCATGAGCCCGTAGAGGATGACATCACACCTTCCACTTCGCTTGGTCGACTTCCAGAGTGGGATGAGCGGACCTTGTTCTTTGCCCCTGTCCACCACATTTCCGAGAGGGTGAGACGGGGCACCGAGCCTGGGAGGACACGACATCACGGCTCTGGCTGTGATGGTTTAGGCGATTTGTACAGGATGTACATCGCCAGGGATCTTGAGACGAGACTCCTATGGGAGTCTTGCGGACTAGCTACCCTGTTCGAGACCTTTGAGGCTATGGTTGCCTCCAGCGGGGGTCACCACGTAGTGCGCGCTTTGGTGGAGTTCTTCTAGGACACCACCAACACCTTCCATTTCCCCTGGGGCGAGATGATGGTCACCCCTACGGACTTCAGTCTCATCACAGGACTGGAGTTCACTTCTGTGCCATTGTTGTTTAACAGTGGAATCGACGTCTTCTCTTCGGAGGTCGAGGACTTGTTGGGGCCGATCGCTATTCAGGCCCGAGCTGAGGTCGAGACGAATCAGTTTAGTGCTAGAGGAATTCGCCGCTCGACGCTTGCAGCGACTCTTGATGACGGTGCGACCACCCGAGAGCAGCGGGTGCGCATCTTTGTGCTGATGTTGTTGTCAGGGACATTCTCCCCTGACAAAGGTAGTAGAGCGTTGCTTTACTATCTTCCTGCTGTCCGTGATCTCCACCGGATCGGAACTTATGACCGGGCCAGCTTGGCCTATGCTGACTTCGTTCGTGCGCTGAGGGACTCGTGTCGACACCGATCCTTTGGGACGAACGTTGCTTTGTCTGCTTTTTGGAAGGTCGTAGAGGTAAACATTTATTCCCTATAAAGTTTAGCTCTGCATATTAGTTAGCATTTTCTCACACTTTTAGCTCTTTGTAGATCTAGTTCTACGAGTACTTTCCTTCTGCTGCGCCGGCGAGACCATCGCCGCGGGGATTTCCAGTGTGTGCCTCTTGGGGCAGTCATCATGTGGATATGTCTACTATACATGTCCGGAACCGGATCATCTCGGTACGACTTTTATCGTTTATCTTGCTCTTCCGCGGTGCTTTAGATGTATTCTTGCCTGATTGATGCTTTTTATAGGGACCTGAGGTGATATACCGGCCGTGGGGCGGTTGGATAGTCCCTGGATTAGCCGCACAATATTCTGCCGAGCGTCGCTATTTTCTAGGGACTTATGGAGCGGTCGCGTACTTAGGAGAGAGGGTCGCTAGACAATATTCTTCTAATGTCTTCGTCGTTCCTGCTGCTCCACCACATCATATGTTCGACGAGGCGCGGTTGTCGAGCATGTCTGAGGGAGCTGGCACCCCTTGGCGGTCCCATGTGATCCTCGGGCGGTGTTTTGCTGAGGAGCTACTACCTTTGTTAGCTCCAGCCCCCGTACCGACTGAGGATGTGAGGGTAAGATTTTCTTAGCTTTACTTTTCACTAAGTAGCCCCCAAGTAATGCTTTACTTATTTTTTATGTTTTATCAGGACGGTGTTGCTGAGTTCGTGCCACCCCGTATGTCCATCCACTATCAGGGGATGTATGGGCCGATCGAGGAGATGATTTCTCCAGCTCCCGAGGGCGAGCGCTTCGTAGAGCGGTTGATTCCTCGCCACCAGACTAGAGTAAGCCTAGTTTTTTTTTAGAATTTTTGTGTTCATATATCATGCATTTTTACTGACTCATTTCTCTGGCAGTTTTCACGCGAGGTGGTTTCGGCGATGGCGCGATGCATAGATGCCTTCCGGAGCCGGCTCGTCCGGATGAGGAATGCGGCCACTTGCCGTCGGGATGACGTCATTCGAGAGGTAGCCTTTCTTTACTCATTATTTTTGCATTGCTGCTTCAATTTTATTTTGTTTCTGATTTAACTCTTTTTGCAGGGTCAGCCTATTGCTTCTCACACCCGCGCGAGACCTGAGGGGCGGAGGGATCCAGCGAGGTCCAGCTCGAGACGTCGTCGCACTTCGTCAGGGGGTAGAGGCTGCTCGAGCTGACGTTGCAGAGGGCTCGGGATCTTCTTCTGAGGGTGCTCATGCTGCACCGGTAGGAGAGGCTACCTCGGTTTTCAGAGGTGGTGGGATGTACGAGGTTGGCTCGTCATCGCAGCAGCCTCCGCGGCCTCAACCTCAGGTTGATCCTGGCTGGAGTGGTCCTATATTGAGTCTTCCTCCTCCTACGGAGACTGGAGCTGGAGCTGGTGGAGAGGTGACTCCTCGTACGGTGCAATTTTATGACATGATGGGCCTACGTCCTCCGGCGCCGTAGTTTGTTCCCGTGTATATTTTATTTTGACTTTTTTTTATAGAACTTTGCCTTTGACTCATTATTTATAGACACATTTTGTATATTTATGTTATCATGAATTTATTTACTGTTATTATTATGTTTGTGTGTGCAAGAAAAGTGTGACAACAGTTTTGCTCAAAAATTCCGTCATTTTTATTATTGATGGAGGGTATCCGACTTTCTCCCCCAAAAAGAAAAAATAAAAAAGGAAAAAATTGAATAGAATGTCGGGTGTTTGGAATTTAAAATAAAGTCCAAAAAGAATAATATAAATTAAAAAAATAATAGCTATATGTAATTAATTAGGAAAAAGGATAGAAAATGATTAAACAGAGCCATAAAGTCATTAACCGACTCGAGTCTAATATTAAAAACGCAAGTTGAGCACGCGCGGCTGGTCTGGCAACTTAGCGCCAGCTGGCGCCACACTATGGCGTGTGGCGCTAGGCGCTACACTTAGCGTGTGGCGCCCAGCGTTGGCGGTTGGCGCCAATCACGGGATTGTGACGCCAATTGATGCGGATACCGTGTTTCAGTCTGATTGAAATTCCTCGCAATTTGTGTATAAAAATCCCTCTGCCCAGTCGATTCTTCTCATAATTCCAGCGAATAAATAATTCTCTTCTTTAGAAAAACAATAATTATGTCTTTAGCTACCAAAACCTTCACCCAATACACTGATGAATGGTGTTGATCTCTTAATGATAGGGAGAGAAAATAATTAGATTTATTTCACCTGGGGGGAATTTATGGCATCAAAGGGGTAGATCTTGACCTAGACTTCATACATACCGCTTTAGATTTTTGGAATGTTGATACTCATTGTTTCAGAATAGGGTATGATGAGATTAGCCCTTTGTCGGAGGAATTTGGTGCTATCTTAGGCTTCCCTGCAATAGACCTTATAGCAATCCCTAGAGTAGACGCATACTATTATAAGGATTTTGAGCGCTTCTTTAATTTAAAGGAAAGGGATTTATCAAAAATAGTGGATGGAAACATAGTTAATTTGAAAGAATTTGCACGCCATTATTTTGATAAACCTCTTTCTGAATCTTTTCATATATATAGAAGAAGGGCGTTCCTATTTTGCATGCTTAACCAATTTTTTCTTAGTAGTGGTAAAAATAATGAGGGTCAATCAATTATAACCACTGTTTTAGAACAAATTGAATCAGGGAGGAATCCAATGCCACTGATAGTTGGAGAGACTATGATTAGTCTAGATGAATTGAAAAGGGACCCAAAAGCGCCTTTTCGCGGCTCTTCAATTTTATTACAGGTAGAAAAATAATATTTTTAATTACAGAAATCAAAAAATATATTTTTGTATTGTAATAATAATTTATTTGCATTGCAATTTTTTTACAGATGTGGCTAATGGAGAGGCTAATTAGCCCTCCGGACGATATTGAAAAATATACTCCCAATTGCTTCGTGAGAAGGAAGAAGCGCATCCCTAAATTTGGGCGCCATGGGTGGAGAAAAGTCTTTGAATCACGTGATTTTGCTATCAAGTGGGTCATCCCATGGCGGAAAATAGAAAGGATGGTTGGTGTTAACAAGCAACCTTTCTGCCGTCTTCCAAGCTTGTCTCGTGTAACTTATTATTACCCCTGCAGGGTAAAAAGACAATATGGCTTGCTTCAGAATATTCCTTCTGGGGATCTTCGTCCTCCCTATGAGTACCCTGTATCTCAAGAAGTAGATAGATTCGATGCTTACTGGAGCGCTAGACCTTTATGGGAAGTGATACCCAAAAGGTTCCTCCTTCTTTGCCCAATGATGTAAAGAAGTGGTTGCTGAAGAAATCTTCGATTGATCAGGGTAGAACCGATGTGAAGAATCGTCTAGGTGACAGGGTGACTCCTGTCAAAGAACGCTTAGGTGCAAGAATTGAATTCAAAACACCTACAATGCCTAGGAAGAAAAATACTACAAAGACAAAGGAAAAAGGAAAGCTAACACCACAGACAAAAAAGCTTGGGTGGAAAAGAAGCATGGAGTGTTAGCTGAAGGGGAGACTATCTACTCCAAAATTGAATGTAGGTCCTCTAAAGGATGCCTACTAGCTAAGGTCATGGATGAAGAGGAGGAAGCAGACAAGAATTGGAAAAGAGCTAGAAAGGAAAAGAAAGATTAAGAGCATTGCTTAGCTTTAGATTTATTAGACTTAGATTGTTATTTTTATTTAAAGTTAATTTATTTCAGCTTTATTTTAATTCCATCAATAATGTAATTTTATTTTATTAATGAAATTTTATCTTTCAATTAAATTATTTACTTCAAATTTTTTTTATTAAAGCAATGAAAATCGAAAAAATTAATTTTCCAGAAATTCTTCGAGTACGGAAGTCGAAAATTTTCCGAAAAACACCGAAATTCTCCTAGAGCTTATTTCCAGATTGGTGTCATTTATTGGCATTTGGCGCCTGCCATTGAGGTCTGGCGCCAGGCGCCAATTCCATCGGCTGGCGCTGATGACTTCTGGCCGGCGCCAGGTTCTGTTCTGCGACGCCAATAATTCGCCGATTTTCTGTTGAATTTTTAATTAATTTTGGAACGCGGAGATGTCGAAAAATAAAGTAACCGCACCCGTAAAGGGTTGCCTACGTATCCTTTCTTAAGGAATCAGGCCGAAAGTAGCTCTCTTGAGTATCCTACTCAAGTAATTATGGGTAGTATTTCTTAAGTTGGTCAAGATTTGTCATGTTTTAGAATTCCTTGCCATCCATATCAGTTAGTTTTGTTGCACCTCCTGATAGGATTGTCTTGACAATGTAGGGTCCAGACCAATTAGGTCTAAATTTTCCCCTTGGGTCTAAAACATTTTTCCTTAGTGCTTTTAATACCAAATCTCCTACTTTAATATTTCTTTTCTTGACCTTCTTATTAAAATGCCTAGCCATACGATTTTGGTAACACTGAGTGTGATGTAGAGCTTCTAGTCGTTTCTCGTCAAGTAGAATCAATTCTTCATATCTTGCCCTAGTCCATTCAACTTCATCGAGTTTACTCTCTAACGCGATGCGTAGAGATGATATTTCTAATTCGACAGGTTGTACGACATCCATTCCATATACCAAGGAAAATGGCGTATTTCCTGTTGATATACGGATTGACGTGCGATAACCCCGCAATGCGAAGTGAAGCTTGTCAGGCCAATCCTTATAATTTTCCGTCATTTTCTCGATGATAGTCTTTAGATTTTTATTAGCTGCCTCGACTGCTCCGTTTGCTTGAGGTCTATAAGGGGAAGAATGATGATGTTGAATGCCGTATTTTTGTAGCAATTCTTCACATTCGGCTTGAAAGTGAGTTCCATTGTCACTTATCATTTCATGTGGGACTCCATATCGACAAATGATATTTCTTTCGATAAAGAGTGCTACATGTTTTGTAGTGAGTTTAGAGTATGATTACGCTTCGACCCACTTTGTAAAGTAATCAATTGCTACTATAATAAATTCATGGCCTCCTGTTCCTGGAGGAGTGATTTTGCCAATGATGTCAATTCCCCATGTAGAGAATGGCCATGGCGATGTGTAGGTGTAGAGCAAAGATGGAGGGACATGTTGTAAATTGGCATAAGTTTGGCACTTAGGGCATCTTTTTACGTATTGATGGCAATCCCTATTCATTGTAGTCCAATAATATCCTTCTCGCATTATTTTCTGGACTAACATTTTGCCGTTTACATGAGTGCCACAGATTCCTTCGTGAACTATTCTCATTACTCTTTGTGCATCCATCTTTCCTACACATAAGAGAGCTCGACCTTTAGGTACCCTTTTATGTAACTCGTTGTCTATGAGTACATATTGAGAAGCCAAAAGTCTTAACGCTCGCTTTGCTCTTTTGTCAGCATGAGGAGGGTATTCTCCATTGGTGACATAATTGAGTATGTCTGTGTACCACGGTTCTTCTTCTTCTTCTTCTTCTTCTTGGACTAAGTCGTCGTCTTCTATAGCCTGGATATATGCTGGTTTGTGCCTTTTTTCGATAGTTAGAGGCATTTGCTCGATTTCCGTGGGAATCCTAACCATTGAGGCTAATCTTGCCAAGGCATCAGCAAATTGGTTTTCTTCTCTAGGTAGATATGTGTATTCTACCTTCTCTAACTGATCGGTAAGAGTTTCCAGATAGGTTTGGTAAGGGGCTAGGCTTTCGCACCTTACTTTCCACCTTTTTAATATCTGATTGATGATCAAAGAAGAGTCTCTGAATATCCTTAACTTCTTTACTCCTAATGCCAAAGCTGTTTCAAGGCCTACCACGCATGCTTCATATTCAGCAGCGTTGTTGGTAACGTCGAAATCAAGCTTTATGGAGATTGGAACATGCTCCTCTTTAGGTGATACTAGTAGTACTCCAACGCCACATCCCTTTTGGTTTGAGGCTCCGTCGAAATACAAGGTCCAAGTATCATCTTCAGTGACCATTAAGTCTTCATCTGGAAATTCATTTTCTTGTATTGGCGTCGAGTCTTCTATTGGTAAATCTGCTAGAAAGTCTGACACCACAGATCCTTTAATAGCTTTTTGTGGCATAAACCTTACATCGAACTGGGCTAGATTGACTATCCATCTTGAAATGCGTCCATTGAGTGTAGATTTCTCGAAGAGATACTTGAGTGGATCTAATCGGGAGACTATGAAAACGGTATGCACCAACATGTAATGTCTTAATTAGTTGTGGCCCACACCAAGGCGAGGCACAATTTCTCGAGCGGTGTATAGCGTGTTTCGTATTCGAGCATCTTTTTACTTAGGTAATAGATTGCGTTCTCTTTGCCTTCTACTTCTTGTGCTAGCATGACTCCCATTGTCTCTTTGGTAACTGTCAAATATAACCTAAGAGGTATTCCGGGAAGTGCTGGCGCTAATACAGGAGGATTTGCGAGATAGGCTTTGATCTTTTCAAAGGCTTTTTGACACTCGTCATCCCATATTATTGGTACATTCTTCTTGAGCTTCTTGAAGATTGGTTCACATATCGTCGTCAGTTTTGATATGAACCTACTTATGTATTGCAACCGGCCAATAAATCCTCGAATCTGTTTCTCAGTCTTGGGTGGTGGCATTGACATGATTGCTTTAATCTTGGTTGGATCTACCTCTATTCCTCTAGAGCTTATGACGTATCCCAAGAGCTTGCCTGAGGTGACTCCAAAAGCACATTTTGATGGATTCAACCTCACGTTATACTTTCTCAGCCTTTCGAAAAATTTCCTTAAGGCTACTTGATGGCCTGGACGGTCTTTTGATTTTATGATCATGTCGTCGACATATACTTCGACTTCTTTGTGCATCATGTCACGGAGTAAGGCAATTGTTGCACGTTGGTAAGTAGCACCCGCGTTTTTCAACCCGAATGGCATTACCATGTAGCAGTAAGTGCCCCATGGTGTTATAAAGGTTGTTTTCTCCATGTCTTCTTCTGCCATGAGAATCTGGTTGTAACCTGCGTACCCATCCATGAACGAGAGAAGCGCGTGATTTGCCGTGTTATCTACCAGAATATCGATGTGTGGCAAAGGGAAGTCGTCCTTTGGACTTGCCTTATTTAGATCTCGATAGTCGACACACATCCTTACCTTTCCGTCCTTCTTCAAAACTGGGACGACATTGGCGACCCATTCGGGGTATTTGGATACCTTGATGAAACCTGCAGTTATTTGTTTTTGAACTTCTTCTTTTATTTTAAGTGCTACGTCGGATTTCATTCGACGCAACTTTTGTTTTACAGGTTTCATTCCTGGAATTAGTGGTATAGTGTGTTGAGCTATTTCTCTGTTAATGCCTGGCATATCTTCATATGACCAAGCAAATACATCGATAAATTCTTTAAGTAAGTTAATTAAATCGGTTCTTTCTTGTTTATTCAATGTTAATCCGATTTTAACTTCTCTTTTATTAGTTGAATCATTCGAGATGTCAACTGTTTCAGTTTCTTCAATTACCGGTGTTTTCTTTTCGAGTGTTTCCATTGCTTTAATAATTTCTTTGTCTTTTTCATCGTTAGCTAAGCAATGCTCGTCATCTTGGGTTAGGGAGGAACACAAGAAGTAAGGATAATGAGAAATATTATTATACTTTGAGATCATTACATTAAAGAGTGATATGTCCTTAGGGACTGGATCACTAACTATCCTAGGAGAAGAAATAAGAGGGGGAGGTGCTATTACTAAAGACTTAGAAGACTCTAAAGGGAAACACTCTGACTCAGACTCTGACTCAGGCGACTCTTCAAACATCGGTCCCTGCCCTGTCGTGATTGATATCTTCCTTCCGCTTGGGGTAGTCACTTTGATAGTCTTGCGCCACCCTTGTAGTGATCCTACGGCTGGAGTAATTAGCTTCGAGGGGTCGAAGCTTTCACTTTGTAGGACCGTTTGAATGAGTGAGAAGTTATCTTCTTCATAAGTTGGCTCATTCTTCTCTCACCCAAACAGTAATCCCATGACGTTAAAGTCAAAGCATGGGGGTGCTTTCTCCTTATGGACGGGAGTTGGGATTTCATCAGTGAAGTAGCAATCCAAGAAAATCTCGAATCCCGGTTGTCTTAGGCCGTTTACAACAAATGGCTCGGGAAATTCATGGCATGGATAGTCCTCTCCTTCTTTTATGAACTGACCATTAAGCGTAAGAGGGTACTGATCCATTGGAATTGCTTTCTTTTGAATGCGAGCGTCCCTATGTGCTTTCAACTTGTCCTAGGCTCGCTTGAGATCTTTCCGAGTCGGTTCAAAATCAAGTCCAAAAGTGTCTAACTTAGGGAGGCCAAGTGACTCCAGCGGTTTTGCCATTCCTTTCTTCTTTCCTAAAGTCATCCTAGGAAAGTGTCCTTGTTTCTTCAGCATGGCGTTGACAATCATGTTGGAATGGGGGTCATGGCAAAGAGATGTCCTTTCATCCTCCTGGATTAAGGAGACTTCTTCGTTAAAGCCCCATAAGTCTTCGTCATCTTCGTCGTGCTCTACGTTAATGATTGGATTCTCTATGGATTTGATTCTCATTAGCAAAGCATCGATGGTGATTGGAATTCCTCCAACTATAGCCTTCACTTGTTGGTGGAGAGATGAAGGGATGGCCTTTAGAACATGAAGCCAAGGGCGTCCCAACAATAAGTTGAATGAAGCTTTGATGTCCACTACTTGGAAAGTAGTAGCATGTTCTATTGCTCCTGCCGTTACATTTAGGGTAATCTTGCCAAGAGCTTGACGACGAGTATTATCGTAAGCTCTTATTCCTTGTGTGGACGGAGTTAAGTCTTCATCCCTTATGCCGAGCATCCTCGTAGTTCTAAGTGGACATACATTGATAGCCGATCCATTGTCTACAAGAGTCATAGGAACATTCATTCTTTTGCAGACTACCGTGAGGTTTAATGCCTTGTAATGTTTGTCACCTTCTGGGGGTAAATCTTTGTCAGAAAAGGTGATCAAATTAATTAGACTAGGAAGGTCACTTGTGAGGAAGTTGGCTAGTCCCTCAGGAGTAGTGTCAGAGTCTATCCCAATTTTATCCAAGACATTCATTACAGCTAACCTATGCTCTCGAGATGTTGCCAGGAGTTTCCACACATTCATCTCAACTTTTGTCTTCTTAAACTGTTTAACAATGTCGTTGTCTTTGATGATAGGTATGGGAACTTGATGTATGGTTGGCATAGGTTGTGTTGAAACGGGATGTTGCATTCTCCCAGATCTTGTGAGGACGACTATCGATGAATCTTCTTCAGCCCAAATGTCATCTGTGGTGTATAACACAGAAGGTGAAGGTCCTACTATGTCCTTTAGATAGACATCTTCTTCATCACTGTCCCAAACTCCATTAATGGTTGTATCCTCTTCTTGTTGAACTTGGACTAGTTTCTTTTCATCAATCATTTTTTGTATCAAATCCTTGAATTTGAAACAGTTTTCTATAGTGTGACCCCCTGATTGATGATACTGAAAATAATATCTATATGTCCTTTTTAATGACTCAAATGGTCTTGGTTCGAGAGGTTTGACCTCGCCACTCTCGGAGAGCATTTTGAACATTTGCACATACGGGATCCCAATCGGAGTGTAGATTCTATTGCTCTTCTTGGGTTTTTCAGTGACTTGTAAGGGAAAGTGCTTTGCCTCATAAGTCGTTCTCACTAGTTTGAATTCTCTTTTAGGTTCTTCTTTTGGAAGTGGAAGCTCATCATATTTCTTATGGAGTTCGTTCATAACTTTGAGAGCTTCACGTAGTAATTGCGATGTCTCCTTCATAGACAGTGTGAGCAGTTGTATATCTTCCTTATTCGCCGGTTTTGGAAGACTATCCTTGACATCGAAAAAGATCTCCTCTTCTTTTTCTATGGCACTGATTTCTTCAACAGGTCTAATGAGAGAGGAGGGGTCATCCTTGTTTTCCTCATTGGAGATAGCTAGGGTATGAGCTAGAGGTGCGTTGTCGATACTTGGCTTCTTACTGGCAGGGGGAAACGACAGTTTGTTGTTGTCAATTAGGTCTTGGATATCTTCCTTAAGCTTCCAACAGCTTTCGTTGGAATGGCCCCTACCTTGGTGATACTTGCAGTGTGCATTGGGGTTCCAGTTAACTGACCTCTTCTCAACTGGTGGGTCCCCAAATGGTCCAATGGGAGTTATAAGACCTTTTGCATTTAATCGATCAAATGCGGTGTCATAACTCATGTCAACAGGAGTGAAGTTCCTCCTAAATGGTTTCTTCTGTCCTTGGTTGTTCATGGCAACCTTCTTATCGATACCTTTGATACTCATTATTGTTTCAAATGCTCTGAAATGAAAGTAAGGGTTATCAATTGCTCTGAATTTTGGGATGTCGTTGGTGTTGAACTTCTGCGGAAGAAGATCTTTGTCCACCGAGACCCCTTGTGATGTAAGCTCTTGAAACTTGTAGTCGCTAGACAACTTGCTTAAACTCTCTTGCATGAGGTCCATTTGTTGTTGCTTCACGGGATCGTCGATCCTAAGTGCAAGAAGCTTCAGTGTCTCAGTCACAGTAGCCAGTTGGTTCTTAAGATCATTGACTTCTTCTTGAGTTGCCATTATAACCCTAGCTTTCCTCTTGCGAGCTATAGGTTTGTCGAAAAGTTGGACTTGTACGAAGAGGTTATCTTTGATTAATCGTCCTTCCTTTCTTGACCACGCGTTGTAAATTAAACCCTTTTGAGTTTTAATTACTTGACTCGAATCATTTTGACTTTATGGTTTATTTTAAGGGAAAAAGAAAAAGAAAAGGGTGCATATTTTTGGCAAAAATAATGTACATATTTTTAGGGAACTAAGTATTATTTTTATTGGAGGATCAATATCCGACTTACCCCCCTAAAAAAATGTCGGAAAAACGCGCACACAAGACTCTCTTATTCATGGTCAAAGTATGTGTATGGGTGTGTGCGTTGAGTGTAAGTGACATGCTTGGACTCTTGTGTAAGACCATGAGACTTAGTGCCTAAACTCGATCATTGATTCAATTAAACATTATTGACAGCAAAAATGACCGAATTAAATAGAAAACTGATTAATTAGACCTTAGGTGATGACTCGACCAATAATCCGAACTGTCGGCCAAGTGACAGGACTGGCGTCACACTGTGGAGCTTGGCGCCAGGCAACATGGCCGTCGTCAGGCGCTACACTCCATAGCGTGGCGCTACAGCTCAGACCTTGGCGCCAATATTGGAGCTTCGGTCTGGGACTGTTTTTGGTGTTATTAGTCAACTAGGGTATACCTAAAGTCGTAATAGGTCAATTCCGATTAAAATATTAGACTTTATTGACTCAAATTAATTAATTGATTAATTAATTAGGGAAAGTTCTTTAAGTCATTAATTGATTTAGTCTCAACACAAGTCAACAAACGGTTAAGAGAAACATAGAATATATATGCACAACAAATAATGCACAATTAGTCAAGTAGGCACAATATGATGCAATGAGTTCGCAACCTAACCATAGCTCTAGTTCTCTAAAGTTCGGGATATGGTTTAGTAAAAAAGGGTCCATGGTTAATTGTCCGGATGCACTGCGCGGAAGCCTAACTGTGAAGGGTTGGCGCGAGTGGATGGGACACCGCAAGCTTTAGAAAAAACTCGCTTCCATGGTTTGGTGAATTCAACATCTCGGATGTACCCTTTGTTGCACGGAGCGTTCAATCGGGTAGATGGAGCATGAATTCCCAGAGGGTTATGTCCATATGTAGAACACATATGGGTTTCAGAAAAGTGAGAAAAAAATTCAATCAGGAAGTAGGATCGAGCAAACAATACGAAAAACCGATCGAAATTAGAACACATATTTTTGGCTCGGTATTGGGGGAAATTGGCGCCAGCAAACAGAGACTAGCGCCAGTTTTTAACTGTGGCGCCTGACGCCAATGCTGGCGTCTGGCGCTATAACTAAAATTCTGGCGCCAAGCTCTGGCCCCTGACGCTACTTCCCACATGCCTCAGCAGCTTTCTATGATCGATAAAATTTTCCAGTTTCGCGCGGTGTTATTTCAGTCCTAGTTGTGAAAGACGTTTCTCAAATTTCCTACGTGTAAAATCCTATGTTTTTAACTCATTACGGATGGTCTTTCCAATGAGATCTTTTTCATGCATATGACAATAATGTTAATCAAAATTACGCACGTGAATTACTTAGAAATTTTCGAGTCTCATCCACTCATTCTAAATCATTGCCGAAACAAATTCAGGAATTAAAATAGAAATCCTCCCCAGTGGAGTCGCCAAAAACTGTAGGGAATAATTTCAAGCCTTTAAAATCCCACTAGCTTGAACCCCACTGTGATCATACACTAAAGTACGGTGGCGTCCAAAAGGGAAGAAGATAGAGCAAAAGAGTCGCCAACAAGTTTTTTAAGGAACTTGTAAACCGTTCACAAGGTGAAGGTTACACCCCTTAACGATCCAAGAGATCGTCAACTCCATAAGGTCATGAACCAAATAAGGGTTCGGGGATGAAGGTACAAATCCAACCTAAAAGAGATTGAACCTGCCCTAAAAATAGGCCTCTACTTTATTCTGATCGTATTCATGTGCGCTTTTTAATTAACATGCAATCAATAGGATTAACCCTAAACCTGTTTATCTATGTTGGTTGAATTAAATGCACAAATAAACTATTATTGGCGATCACTTGAAATTATAATCAAATTAACCCTAACAAGATTATTAAATATCTTATTAAGCGTGATTACAAGTACCAATTCCCTTTAAACATGCAATAAAGGTGAGATCAAGCAATAAGTAAGCATCAAGCAACATATTAAATAATAATATCATGATAATAATTATCATAAATAAAATAATCATCATCAAAATAATAATAGTCATAAATCATGACAATTATAATCATAATCATGATCATGTTAAAGCATAATAAAAATAGCAAGATCCTAGGCATGATACTAACAAGATTAATAACAAACCCCAGCATGTCACTAAGCAATAAAGATCAAATCTTTAACCCTAACATGATACTAACAATCATAAATATTAGGAAGAACATAGGAAGCATCGTAGGAATCTTATTTAATATTAAAAACACCCTAGACATGATACTAGGAATATCATAATAACAATGTAAACATGATTTCTACATCATAATATCAATAAAATCAATAAAGCACTTACTTTGATGCCTCGTATCTCTTTCTAATAACAAAATACACGCGTTAGTAACATCAAGGAAAATAATAATCAAAACAATTAAATTAAATAATTGAAATAGAGATTTGGGACCAAACCCTCAGAAATTAAAACCTTTCACGTCTAGGGCGAAGGCTACATTCGAATATGGCTAGGTGTTTCTAGATCTTGTGAATGCGGAATTTTGTATGAGAAAAGAAAATTTAGAAAAAGATGAATGAGAGAGATGAATGATTTAGAAAACTTGATGAAAATTGGTGAATGATTAAGAGAGAATTAGAGAATTAATGATTGCGAATGAAAACTGATTGTAGGTGCATGAAAACGGAGTTTTTAATACGATATTTATAGAGAAAATCAGCCAAAAAGATAAATTAGACAAAACAGAGTCTGACGCGAAGAAAACAAAGCTGGCGCTAACCCTGGCTAGCTGGCGCCAGGCACCAGCACTAGCGCCAGGCGCCAATGGCTAGTTCCAGGCGCCAAGGCCTGGGGTTAGGCGCCAAGCCTGATACCAACGCGTTTTCGAAAATCCGATAAGTTTACCGTATTGGAGGATAAAATAATATAATTTCCTCAAAAATGCTATTTGATTTTGATTAAAACTCTAAAAAGTCAGCAAAAGTCAATTTATCAATGCTAATTGAATTAGGAATGGAAAGAACCTTCTAGAAGAATCTAGAAGACTAAAACCATTCCTAATTGCATTAGGAATGATAAATAATATTAGGCCCTCCCCTAGATCATTGGGCCTCACATAAAGCTCAAACCGGGCCCAGTTTAGTAAATTGGCCATAACTTCCTCAATATTCATCGGAATTGGGCTTATAATATATCGTTAGAAAGGTCTTTGCAAGCCCCATCCAACTACACTACTATTGGAACCATATCATGGACCAACCAAATTGTATTGGCTATTTTCTTATAATAAAGTTTTCAAAAACAGAGAGAAGAGAAAAGAATTAAAAACTTTCCGCAACACTAGACT